GGGTTTTTTTTGAAGTTGTCAGGTTTTTTGCCAAATTTTTACCAATATTCATTAGGTAACAGAGCCTGGATATAACTCGGTTTGCCCCCTGCTAACATACAGCAAGTGACTAGGGAAGACACAACCATTTGAAATGGAGTTACCCAGAGACAGTTTCCCAAGGGTAAAATCTGGGCTTGATCTCACAGAAATTAATGGATTTTTGCCCAGTTTGTTGCAAGTTGTTTTAAAGGATTTTACTATATTGCAATTATTACTCAAGGCTGTGTGGTTTGGAGGGGAAATTCAATGGAATACCAAGGGCTATATGTTTCTGTGAGTCATTTGTTATCGAAGGGAAAGACGTAGATAATTTCATGCAGCAATAAAACATGGCGCTGAATGGTGATGTTTGAGATGATTGTAGTAGCCAGGAGGAGTATGTCCATGAGTGAGTAGGATGCGCCACAGGCAGATGTGGCTTTAGGGTGCTTTTACGTAGAGAAGTTATTTCAAATAAGCTTGTGAAAGAAATGAAAGTGAGTTGGAACCACAGCAGGAAGGGAAAAAAAGCCTCCAGATGGAGGAGGCAAAAAAACTTCAATTAAAAGTAACAACATCCAACTGAGAAGTTATTGCAGAAACCATAGCTGCTGCAAATCATACCCTATGTAGGCAAATCCTTCTAGAATTATTTTACCTCTTTGAACAAAGCAGATGTTCAAATGTAAAAAAAAAACCCAACACATTCTTGGAAAAGAGCATTTGAAAGAATAATGAATGGTCTTAACCTAAGCCAGAACCACTTAAATAAACAATATACTACTTTATTTTTGACACAGATTCAATCAGTACAAATCTAGCAATTCCTGTAAGGTGAGGGATGCGTAGTCCATTTACAAATATATGATTCTCTATATGTATTTGATACAGAGATGGAAAGTAGCAGCACATTTTCTCAGCAGAAAACACCATAGGATGACATTATTTGTCGTAAGATTACAATCCCTTCCTGTGGAGTAACCCTCGCTGAAAAGTCATATAGATTAATTTATACCTCGTGTAAACACCTTGCTTACCAAAGGAAAAATTTACTTACATCAAATAATGCCTTACATTTGCAAAAATAAATTTCAGCAACATAATTATTTAAATACAGTAAAAACGAACTAGAAGCACTGCCACGGGATAGATCATAGAACAAATAATAAATATTTTTAAAGCTGAGTTACATCAGGTCAAAATCTTTGTACCTTAGTTGTTAAGCTTCCTTATGACTTTATCAATCAGTTGAAGACATCTCCTCATTTCTGCACGGCTGATCTCCCAGGAGCACAGGCTGTGTTGTTTGTCGTTAAGAAAACAATCTATTTTGTGGAAGTACTTTTTCAGTTTCAGCCTGTTGACTTCTTTACTCCGAAAGTAATGGGTATGCTTCTTGATTACACATGCTTCCAGTTGCTCAATTTGCTGATAAAGTCCATTTTGGAATTGTTCTAGAGCTGTCCCATTCCAAGCAGCTAGAGTCAGATTTTTGCTGAAGATATAGAAGATGTGTTGGAAAATCTCTTCGATGGCCACTTTGACAGTTTCTTTCTGTCTGGGCTTTAGAACCTGCTTAGGAAATCTGAAGGACATTTTCTCTCTTAGACATTGTTGAGGAAACCTTTTGCCCATTTTGTCCAGAAGTTGCAGGCTGTTCTCGACCACTTTTCTTTGCTGTACAGGAAGGTGATTACACTGAATACTGAAGATGGTGGTGATGCACAACAGTATGAGGCCAATTTGTATCAAGCCAGAAGCATTCATGATAAAGGTAAGTTCTTATGTTCCTCCTTTCCTGTGTATAAATTCTGAGAGAGAGGCTTGGATGCTTTGAAGTTCGTTCGTAAGCTCCTGTTTCTTCAAAATCTTGAAATTGAATTATTCTATAGGAGAAGTTTTCTTTCATCATTTTTTGGTTTTGAAGGTTTTCCCCCTTGTGTATGCTTTTGACACTTAACCACTTTCATTTCATTTTCTGCTTTATGACTTCATTGTCTCTTTTTTTTTTGGCCACTTTCTTTTTATTTCAGCTGGATATTAGAATGTTATATATATATCTTGGAGTATCTATTCCCTCTCCCTCTAAAGTTCTATAGAAAGTATAATGAAAATTCAGAAGAAAAAGTTACAGAAGTATCCTTAGTTTCTATTTTAGCAGTGGAAGAACTTGCTGAAATAAAATAACACTGTCACTGATGGGTCAGTACTGCCATTCTGTCTCCTCAGCACGATTTATACTTCCAAAATTTGGTTAAGCTTTCTCTACCTGTTTTCGTTCAGGGAAGATATTTTCTTTCTCCTCACCTTTGTTTCTCTTGACCATTTAGACTCAAAGGAAAAAAATGTTGTATCATTAAAATATGTGTATGTACATATATATTAAAAAATGTGTATATATTTTAATACATACACACTGCTAATTAAATGAGGCCTTGATCTCACTAGAGACTGTAAGTGCCATGCAAATACAAATACTCTCATGGGAATAGGTTATATACTTGGACAAAATACTTTTTTTTTTCCCTCATATGAGTAACTGAGCAATAATTTTTATCAATCTTCACAGAGCACAGGTCTGAATTCTGAAATTAAATGGGAAGAGAATGAATAGAGAAGACAAAAAATACTCAAAAATTCAACCACTTGCTTTCCCTAGCCATATAATAAAGGAGGTTAGGACTGTCACAGTACATTGGGAAATCTGGCTCCTGAGTTGGTTTTATTTTGATGAAAGCTAGTCTTAAACTATCATTTTGCTGTCTCCCCAGCCTCCTGTGCAAACATATGTCATTGCAAAGGCAATTCTCTGCAGGTGATTATGTCTCGGTGAAGAGGTCAGATAAACTGTTTTTTCACTCTGAGGCCTGGCTCTGTATTTTTGTTCTGTTGTTGCACTCATTGCTATGTGGGGTTGGCTTTGTTCCCAGTCTGGTAGTCACTCTGAGCAGATTTATGATACTATTTTAGGGCTTGCCTTGTGTTCAGCACATAGGTATTTGGGAGGCTTTAAAAAGTCATAAATTAAGCTGAACACAATTATTCACATGAGCAAACTCCTTGGATGCCCTGATGTTGCTTAAGCAACTTTGGATTGGAGGTACTGCCAGCGTGAGGAAAAAATGAATTCCCTATCACCTATGACCTATTTTATTGAATAAAAAGAGTAAGAACAATCAAAGCGGGATATAAAACATGTAACATGGGACCAAATCTTTTCACTCAGTTGGAATGCTTATTACTTTGGAAAAACTGTCCAGAAGTAAATTATTGGTTTAGATGCAAAATGGCCATAGAGATGCATCACTTCTGCAAAAATCCAGCTGTAGAAGATGAACACCTAACATATTATAAATATCGTGAAATCAATAAAAATTTATTTAGCTCAAGAAAAATATTTAATACTGCTACAGATATTTCCGTAAATGATACACCAGTATTTTTTTCCAAACTGTAATCATTACATGAGTTTAATCCTTCTGCTGATTTAAACAGGTAAACTTCTTCACATTTGTTGTATCTCCTGGACACAAGTTCTTTCTTTCATCTTGCAAAATAGTTTTTTACATGTTTCCGTCTCAATGAATAGCTGGAGATGCCATCTTGATTGTCACAAACATTACAGAGGGGGAAAATAGAAGATGGTCTCTTCCAGATTTCTTACAAAGACAGAGCTGGTCCAGGTGTTTTATTCTTTTGTCCAGGTTAACAGATCAGTTGTCCACTCTTCCTCACAGAACAGTTACATTTGACTTAGTCCGTCAGGTTTTCAGGGGTTTTATTGTCTTTTGGTTTGTTGTTTTTTTCTTTTTCTTACAACAAATTGTTCTCTCCCACTTAGCCAGTTTCTTGATTGTTGCACTGGGCAAAGCATAACGGTAACATTGCAAGATTCAGGACACAGTCTCCCCTAATCATCTATCTTCATTGCTTAATTCAGAAACAGGCAGTTCATTAAAAGTAGTGACTGGAAGAGGTAACTGAGTGGTATGAAGCTGGAACACAGATTACTGATTATTTCTCTGCCTGGGGGTGAACCACAGACCACTGTAATCTAGGATGAAAAGAGGAAGTAAGTTTACAAAGCAAAGCTGTATTTCCAAGTAGACATAACAGATCATTATTCTAGAAAGATTATCTAATCTTTGATTCCATGCAAGAAAGATCTGCCCTTACAAGGTCATCTAGCTATATATGTATTCATTACAGGAGTGTAAGACTAGAGCTAAACATATTTTAAGTCATTCTAACACCTTTAAAATGCCACAAACTGCTTCCCTAATATATTTTTTTCATTTTGTTTTGTAATGTAATAGAGGAATGAAATGAATATTCACTATTGCTTATGGTATGGGTTCTTTTATCTCTGGCATCAAGGCAAGTAGTTAAGTCTGAGTTCAGCCTATGCATATGCTGGAGCAGTGCAAGGGAACATTCCTGCAAAACAGTGTGCTTTTGGCCTCTGATAACTACCCTATGTTAAATCACTTCGTATAACCTTACACCAGCTTTCTCAAATCAAAATAACTGGTTCCTCTCAACATTTCATCTACTCTAGCTATCAGTTTCTTTTCTCCTTTAATTCATTCTAAACACGCTGATTTTAACAAGATGCCACAGAGGAGTACGGATAGATTCAGCTTGCCACTGGACAAGATATCTTCCTCCCTAGCTAGCTTGACAATGCCTATTCTAAAAGAAAACAGTTTTTCTCCATTTTGCTTTCCATCACAGCTATAACTTGCCAGTCATCCTCCTTATGCATAAAAATTCTTTCTTTGTTGCTACTTTTTTTAAGCAAAAACTTCAAATACGGGCAAGATTGGATTCTTTCCTCTTATCCTGAGACTATGTGGCTGGCCAGGTGCAAGCCTCATGCTATGATGAGCAAAGGGCAGGAGCTGCCGAAAGTGCCGGTGCGCTGGTCAGAAAAGAGATAGTACAGATTTAATACTACTGCTGGAACCATGCCACATGGATGGGTAAAGCTAATAAATTCATAGTTTTTTGACTACAAAATGTACCATAAATACCTTATTCAGTTTTAAACTATTAAAGCACAGTTAATTTAGCTCGTATGCTACAATTTCACTCACAATCGCTGTTACAGTTCACATTGAGAAGTTAAGATCTAACTTGGCCGTGTGACCTTCCCATATCAGCAGACCACATCTTGGTGTCCTGTTGAGCTGTCCCAATCCAAGCATCTGTTTTATCTCATGCTGAGTAAGTCACTGAAACCATTTGTGCAGTACATGCTTGCTTCTGCAAAGTATTGTTTCAAGAAGTACAGTTTTACAAACAAGGGTATTAACTAATAATTTAAAAACCTCTAAGTGCTACAGATTCAGCTTACTGGAAAAGAAATTTAACTGAACAGTTCTCAATGAAGTAGCAACAAAGGAGTATTATCATAACCTACTTTTTAGAAGCACAGAAGTAAAAAAAATGCTATTTCCATTTGTGTCACTAAAGGTTTGTTGTCTTAATTAAAAAAAATAATAAAAAAAAAAAGATATGTATAAAAACTTTGTCAGGATCTTTTTTTCTGCTTAAAAAGGAGCAGGACCTGCAGTCCTTTTTGTAGGAAACTAAATTATCTGGGAGTGTATTTACTTTCTTGTATTGACAGCTTGGAGACCGGAACACACTGGGGCTGTATTTTTGCCCTCACTGAGGCTCTCACCTTCCTTGCCTCAGTCTATACTGCTGGAGGCTATC